CATATAAAAAGCGCAGTGATCGAGAATTTAAAGAAGGAGATGAAGTTTACCTTAAACTTTAACCTTATAGACAAACTTCCTTAGCCTTGCGCAAGAATCTAAAGTTATCTGCTCGTTATTATGGTCCCTACAAAATCACAAAGAGAATTGGGTCAGTCGCTTATCAACTGGAATTACCGAATCATTCTCGGCTACATCCAATATTTCACGTTAGCCTTTTGAAGAAAAAAATTGGAAACAAAGATGTCGCTTCCACAGACCCACCTGAACTTACTACTGATGGCCAGCTGTGGGTTTATCCTGCGATTGTTTTAGATAAACGCGTTATCAAAAGAAACAACAAGGCAGTGACTCAACTGCTCATACAGTGGTTGAATTTAGGGGTACCTGAGAAGATTTCACGATTCTTCGATCTTAATTTCCTGACTTCGATCCTTTGAGACAAGCATCAACTGCAGCTGGGGGTATTGTCATGACTCATGAGGCAGAAATGGAGAGGGATGTGAAGGATTTGGGGAAAAAGGGATTTAATTTGATGGACCAAGCAGGAAACATACCTGAAGAGAAGAATGGGCTGCATGGATCAGACGGGTGTGGACCAGAGAATAACGATGCCAAAGTGGAGAACATGAGCCCAACAACCTGTCATGGAATTTAAAAGATGAAAACAGTTAAAGGAATCTAGTTGTTATGCAAAGACAGTACAACCGACACTAAATTCTTAACAAATTCAACTATATACTGGTTGTAAAAAACAAATGAAATTATGAATGAAAATATTATGAAGTTCTTCCTTTCATCTTATTCTTCTCTGTTTTCTTAAATCCTTTCTATTTTCCATAATCCTTTCTATTTTCCATACGAAATCATCTCATACCGCCTTTATGGATCTTTTCAAAGCCCCGCGCTATATCGAGTACTAGCATTTCCCTGTTTTGTTTCATGGACTTGTGCATATGGAGGATAAGTAATTAACGGTTTGATAACGATTGTCCATTATCCAGGGGCTTGCGGATGCTTTCTCTTGTTCTTGGATCAGAAATCACGGATGCATCTGTTGCTGCTATTGCTTCAAGCTATTCAAAATTCGAATTACTTGATCTGAGTGGGTATGTTTTGCTGTAAGCTTTGATTTATTCATCCAAAATGATTGCTAATACCAATCAATCTTCAGCACCATACATTATGATGCTTGCTGGTTGGTTCAGATCAAGTATTACCGACAGTGGCATCGGAATGATATGCAATGTGTTCCCCAACACATTGTCAAGACTCCTCCTTGCTCTTTGTCCGAAAATCACTTCAAGTAATCTTAACGTCCAAGACTCCTTGCTCTTTGTCCAACTTTTGGTAAATCTATTCATTAATACTTCCACATGTTATCTACATTTCTCAGGTGGAATGCAGTTCACCGCTGCTCAACTACCTCTTCTTGAACTCATGGATTGTGGGATGACCATATGTGATCTCGACTCCCAGAATTCACCTGGCAACTACGAACCTCCGAACGTATTGTACAGCAAACTGCACCTTATGTACCAGAAACTTATCATCAAACACAGCCGATTGAAAAAACTCGGCTTGTGAGGTTGTTCTGGCTTAGACGTGAGATCTTTTAGCCCATAATCTTGAACATTTTGTAAGTATTTTCTTAATTTCTTCTCGTGGTTCTCTCATGTGTGAATCTAATATGCAGGCTTTATGTTTAAGTTGTCCAGAGCTCAATGACCTTAATCTCAACTCTTGTAAAAACTTGCATCCAGGTATCCTACTTTGTAGCTCGAACATTGTCATCAGTTATCAGTTAATCATGTTCATATTTTCTTATGTTTTTTGTTTTATAAACTGTGTTTCGTAGAGAAATTGCTACTTCAATGCCCGAGTTTACGAAATGTGCATGCAACGGGATGCAATGAGTTGTTAATTGGGAGCATTAAAAGCCAGGTAAGCGCTCCTAAAGACTTAAAGAGTTCCGTTTTACACTCTCGTTAAGGGCTTATTTAAGGGTTTACAAAACGTTGGGCAGTTGAGTGAAAGCTTGGCTTCTGTGGAGAATCATATTCCACGTAAGCGTATAGTTCATCAAATTTATCTTTCAATAAAATTACATTTTATCATGATTCGTAGATCGCTCAATGGGCAAGTGTTCGATGAATAATCTAATCCCTAAACAAATTAGAAATTATTATTTGTTATTTGAGATATTTCTTTAATATATTTATAAATACAATTGTTCTCTTATGAAATAATTAAAATTTACAATTTTTTATAGTTCAATGGGCAAGTTTAGGGGGGGTTTGTTCGGTAGTTGAAGCGGAATTATGGGGAATCTTTGTGGGGATTTTTTGTGCATGGGACCGTGGTTTTCTCATGGTAGTGGTTGAATCGTATTGTCAGCAAGCTATTTGCCTATTGCATGAACAAAGAACTGGTAATGGTCTGTTAACAATGGTGCATCACTGTAATCCCTCATATCAATGCGGGTAATCTAATTCGATTTGGAGTGTCACATTAAGATCACCGAAATGACCCACCGTAAAAATAACGAAAAATTTAAAATTTTTATTAAAACATGTAATTCATAAAATTATTTATAAATACAAAAGTAATATTTACTAATATTCATAAATAAAACAGATTTTTAGACTTGTATATAAAACAAAATACAACTTACATGCCCCTAATTACATGTATCATACTCTGAAAGCAACGTCAGAAAAACTCTCTTACTAATTTTGATTCTTTTAATTTACCATCCAAGTATCTTTAATGAGATAAATTATAATTTACATATTAAGCACTGATTCCTTTATCCCTCAATCACAAAACTTATAATTCAATAGTCTTAACTAATTTATCACTTAAATCGTATTCGGTTCGAATCCATTCATAATCAAACAGGCATAATAGACCAATCATATACATTCATGCATTTATCCATTATCAACAATTTCCATAAAAGATAAAAAGATAGTAATGTATTATCTCGATTTTCGTGTCATAGATCGACCATATAAATTCCATTCGAACGTCTTCGATCTTGAAATCAACTTCTAATATTTTCCTCACGATCCAGGCCATCAAAATTACTAACTAGTATCCAAATAATTTCTCTCGCCATGAAATTAGCTTATTAGAATTTAAATAATAATTTGAAAACCCAATTTACACAACTTAAAACTTGAAGAGCCGATAATATTTAATTACTAATATTATGGATTAAATTGATCTTATTTAAACCATTATGCTATAATCATAATAATACTGAAGCTAAAAGACAAGGTTAAATTTTTACCGAACTTGGATAACTCAGCTTGTAATTTACCCCTTTTACACTTTATCAACTGTACCCCAACGCCCACGTGATTTGCTATTTCTTCACTTCAACTTTCCTTTCATTGTTTTTCATTTCCTGTAGTCATACCCACCAAAGCTCTAAAGATGACCAAAGAAGTTTTACCGGCCGGTAGTCGAACCCGGTGACTAACACGTCGGGTCGTTGTCTACGATCATTGTTCGAAAACAAAATACACCATCGAAACAACCTTGTGCTCCTCTACACGGATCCAACCTCCAATTATTGATAATGGTTCTAGATGGTCGTAGATCTATCGAAAATCATTCGGTTTCCTTGAAGAAAAAGGCTCCGATTTATCTACGTAAACATTCGATGAAGCCAAGACCGAGCTAATTTTGGATCTGGTTTCCTATTCCGATGTTTGGAAATATTGATGAGTAGGGTTATGACTTTTTTTCTGATTGATAAGAGCAGAGGAAAAGAAAACTGAAACTGCTATCTGTGATCAAAGTGATGAAGAGCAGGTTTCCAGAAGAGCTGAGAAAGTAAATCCAGAAACCATGGCCAATCACGTTAAACAAAGAAATATTATTAAGAAACCCCCCAAAATATTTTATAAATTTTTGTTTCTATATGTTTTGAATAAAATAATAATAAAATAATCATTTACTTTCAGTTCTTTCTTTCAATCAATCACCCCTCCATCACTTCAAAATGTATTATTTTTATTAAAGTAAAAAAATATCAAATCAGTAGTAATAATAGAAATACAGAAATTCTAGAATTATCTACCAATAATTTAATTGTGTTCGAATATGAAATACACTAAATTTTGAAAATAAAATATACATATTTATCCATATGATAGAACATTTCACTTTCTTAATTTATGTACTTATAAATATTTAATAATTAAAAAGTAGACTTTTTAAAATATTTATTTGATAAAAAAATATACTATATAAAATTCTCAATACAAAATAGTTTATAACTTATTTAGTATCATATTTAATATAGAAGAAACATAACTCCTAAATTGGGGTGTGACAATCACATTCAAGATCTTCTCAAACGTAGGTGGTCGATAAGGTTTTCTCATATCTCTGGTCAAGTTTACGCTTAAAGGTCGGTAGTATTTGAAGTATTTAACCCTTAATAATATTATTTGAACACCATTTTCAATAAAAAAAAGTGTATTATTGCCATTAAGAATAAATTATATGTTTAGTATCCCAATTAATATTTTTTAACATCTTGATCATTTAGCTATTTTTTAAGTCATACTTAATATTTAGTTTTAGTTTTATTTTGTTTACCCATCGTTAAAATTTTAACAGTAATGTTAACGTGTCACCATAATGAATACAATGTTAGTAGTTTTGTTAATTTTTTAACGGTGAATGACTAAAATAAAATCAAAACGTAACGTTAAATATGATTTTGAACAAAATAATTAGATGATCAAGACAGAACAAATGAGATAGTTGGAGTACTAAATATGCAGTTTACCCAAAAAAAAAAAGAGTCCAATTCTACCTTAGTTCTTTACCCAAGATAAACGCCTTAATCTAACGAGTAACGACCGAAGGGAACAAGACAAAACAGGCAAACAGCTGCAACTTCAAATAACTCCGAAATAGCACGTGTTTTGATCTTCTTGACTGACTGCGAAGTTTTATTTTGCAGTTGAATTCGGATTCGTTGTCCATAGATCTCTTTTAGTCTAAGCATTTGAATTCTAAACCCTAACATCTCTCACCATCTTTTCTTTTGGGGGTTCGATTATGGAGATTTCCTCAATTTCCACCAATTCAATTCACTATTTCTGTCCCTCAACAGGTTTCCCTCTCCTTTTCTCTTTATTTTGTAATTTTACTATCTAATAAGTGATCAGTTTCCACAACCCATTTACAATTAGAAATTGCACTGATCATTTTGTCCTCTTTTTTTACTGCCATTAAGTATTCGCCGTCTTTAAATGAGTATGTTTATTATTTTGCAGAGTCTCTGTTGTTCAAGAGCGTTAAGCTTCCTTCGTGGGATCAAACACCCGGGGTCCATTTCTTTGAATTCAAGAACTGAACAACGTTTATCTGGTCGGCTATGTTGTCTCGGTAACAAGCAGAACTTAGTGAAGGTTAAATTCATACTGCAAGCCTCTTTTTTCTTTTTAATTCCGTTCTTCCTATTTTCTTCTGGTTGCAGTTTGAATTTAATGTTTTCTTTTACAGGTTAAATGTAGTCAAAAGAGAGAAATTCCGGTTCTCGAGGGCAGGTATTTTATCTTAGAAGTTTGAAAGATGATCTGAACATGCTGGAATCAAAGCCTAGTGTTCTCATTCCATTTCTTTATGCATCAGTCCTTGCGAGACAATGAAGTTATTTGCATGCCGCTGCACTGTTAATATCTGTTTTTGTTTGAGATTAAAATGCATTTCTTCAGTATTTGATTATATCACATTGAGCTACCTTAACCCACAGTCTAGTGCACTTTATTTTGTGATTTTGTGACGCTTTAGCAGAAGCACATACATTTGCCGAATTAATTTCTCGATAGCTGCTCTAGCGGAAAGTTATATTAATTTTATGCATATTTAAATTTCAATGTCAGTTTTGATAGAATTACTCTAATAAGAATCTTGGCTTGTTCTGTGAGTTTAACTTGCTGTACATGGGGTATCTGAAATATGAATTAGAAATTAATTAGTTTTTTTTATCTCATCCTAATGTGGTTAGGTGTGAAGAATTGTTACTTATACCTCATAGGTGAGTGTTATTATTATTATTTTTTATTAATATGGGGTAAGTACAAGCTAGTATTTGTTCAAAGATAACTCTCAACCCCCAACATTCCTGGTGCTCGAACCTAGGACCTCAAGGAATAGCAACAATTCTTTTACCTCATAGATGAGTGTTAGATGCAAGTATGTGGCAACTATTTTTCTAATTTTTCCATTTTCTGGAGGGTCAGATATCCATACCCATATTTTCCATGCAAGTGTTGTACATGGTACCAGTGAAAGTGTTTTTGTTAATATGTTACTGAATTTACATGTCCTCTGCTTATTGGTTGTAGAGCAAAAGATGGTCATGTATGCTAACTGGTATTTGAACAGTTTTACTTGTTTTCTCGTTCCTTTTATTCTTTACTGTTCTCCGTATTTATGATAGTTTTGCTTATTTTGTTTGAAGTTCTATGCATGAGGTTTTTGATAATTTGGCTGAGCGTATTCTTCCTACATCAGCAGTAGCATCGAATCCTAATACAAAGTAAGTTCTACTTTATTGAATCTAGGAATATTTATGCTTATCCTAAATGACTGGTCATTGTTGTTTGTTGATTTGGCCTGTTTTCAAGTAGATAGATCTTGCGTTACTAATATAATATGCATTTAAAAATTCTTAATTCTTCTGGTCCAAATGAAGCAAAGAATAATGCCAATTAGAATTTGGACTCCTATTCTTTTCTTTATTTTCTTGACAAAAATTGCATATGCTACCATTCAGAAAAAGACATGGAGAGTAGGGATGCTTAATGAGTTGAGCAGCTCGTGAGTTGCTTGAACTCAACTTGGTCAAAACTCGACTTGGGTAGACTCAACTAGAACTCGAGCACAACTTGAGACCTTAACAATTTTTTTTGATAAGATTTGAAGGCCTCATTAAAAACCTCCTTCATGATTAATGGAGCTTGTATAGAAGTTCCTTAATCAGCTGAAGGAGGAAAAGAGTGCCTTATATTTCATTATAGAAAATAATAATTACAACCATGGAAAATAAATCCAAATAACCCTTACAACAATAAGCAAACCCCAACCTAACAGGAACTAAAAACCAATCTGAAAATACCAACAACATAAAAATCATCCTAAACCAGCCTTGCTAAAGCATCAGCATCAATGTTAGCTGTCCTTGCAACCATCTAACAACCCCCCCCCCCAAATTCTAAGACTATCAACTATGTCTGTAACAATAAAACCATATACAACTGGACATGAATCAACATCATTGATCCAGTCTACTGCAACCCTGCTATCACTCTCAACAATCAGCCTATCTTTGAACCTCCCTTGAAAAGAGGCAAAGAAAGAAATGCCCCTTTGAATAGCTTTAAGTTCCTTCAAAGTCAGAGGTCCTGAAGCAGCAGGCTCCTGAAAAGAACCTAGGATTACACCAGAATGATCCCTCAAAAGACCTCCAAGACCTGATTTCTTCCAATCACTGCTAATGGCTGCATCCACATTCAATTTAATGAAACCCATGGGGGAGGTGACCAAGGGATTATAGAAGACTTTACGAAATTATAGGTCGAATAAGAATCCCCTAAGGAAGGATCAGAAATCAACGAGTCCTTGGGGATAGAAATATCCTTATGCTTAGCTAGGAACCAAGAAGCAAGCCTAACTCTTGTTAAGAAGAACAACTCTGTCAGATCAAGCTTCCCCCCTTCAAAAACAATAGAATTTCTGGTTTTCCCATGAATGAAAGTCCAACTCGACTCGATAAGTTCGTGAACAACTCATTAATTTTTTTAATATTTTTTTAGTAGTTTGGTGATTGCAAGCAACAATGAATGGAGCGAAGAGATGCTGATTTCCTTATTTTTGGAATTGATCATGTATCGTTGAACTTTTTTTTTCAAGAATGTTTTTAATATGTTAGTTTAATGTATTTGTGGATTGTTACCTTAGTTTTAATATGTTAGTTTGGTGTATTTGTGAATTGTAACAATTGTTACTTTGGAGTTTAGGCTTTAAAATTGCTTCATACGCTCTTTTGATAAATTTTTTGGTTAAATTTGTTAATTTATGTTTATATTAAGCTCTGTATAGTATTAGTAGATTTTACATATAGTTTAAAAATAAGGTAAAATTTCTAGTGAGTTTAATGAGCAACAAGCTTAACGAGTTGAGTTGAGCAACATGTTTTTTAATGAGCACGAGTCGAGAAAAATTTTAACGAGCAACGAGTCGAGCAACAAATTTTTTTAACGAGATCAAGTCGAGCACTGCCTAACTCTCGATTGACTCGCTCGATAAGCACCCCTAAATTGCAGAGAGGTAGTTTCTCAAAGAAGTTCAGATTGAACTTCTTTCGCTTGTAAAATGAAGTTCTTTTGGGGGCTGTATCTGCACTCTTTTCCTGTATTTCTGGCCCTTTCAAATGGTACTCCCACCTTGCTGGACAAAGAATTGCCAAGAGTAGTTCAGGACCCTAATTTATAAGTGTTTAACTAACTGTTGGATTCACATTCCTGTGATGAGTGTTGTTTCGTTTTGCCTTGTCCCACTTCTCTGCATCTTTTCCTGAAACACTTCTTATAAAATCGAATACTTGGAGGTCATGCAGGCATATTGTAGGTTTGGCTGGCCCTCCTGGTTCTGGGAAAAGTACTCTAGCTTTTGAAGTTACACAGCGCATAAACAAGTTATGGTTCCATAGGGCTTGTGCTTCTGATCCTCAAGTTAAGCCTCCAGATGTTGCTATAGTTATTCCAATGGATGGGTTCCATCTATATCGTTCGCAACTAGATGCAATGGAGGTTAAGCTTCCTCCATCTGTAACTTTAAATTGTAATAGTTGAAGCTTTCTTGTAGTTTGTGATTCTAACTATCGTAACTTCATTTTAGAATCCAAAAGAAGCACATGCAAGAAGGGGAGGTGAGCTTCTGTGTTAGATATTCATCTTAACTCCATTAGAAAGTAAATTGATGATCCTTTCATTTGGTGAATCAGCTCCTTGGACTTTTGACCCCATGTTACTGCTAAATTGCCTCAAGAATCTAAGGGATCAGGTTGGTAGCTATTGGTGTTTTAACTAAAACAAACATTTGGTTTGGCTTGAAATAAAGGCATATGTGTACTTTTTCTTTCCCTCTCTTGGTCTCTCCAATCCATGTGGATGAATGCTTGGAGATATAAAAAATTAGAGATACATGTATATTTTCTTTTAGTGCCACAACTGCAATTTTATTCTAATTAGAACATGTCTCAGGGTTCTGTTTATGCACCATCATTTAACCATGGTGTTGGAGACCCTGTTGAAGATGACATCTTTGTGAGCCTTCAGTAAGTTCACATCATTTATTCAAAATCAGCAATCCCTTAATGCTAAATCATGTAATACAGAGCAAAATAACGATTTTTAGAGTTGAATGTAGCTGTCTGCAAACTTTTATATAATATAGTCTGCTTTCCATCAACTTCTACAAATGTTATTTCCTACCTTATATTTTTTATTTTTTGTTTGGAGAAGTGTATAAAAGGACATGTATTTTTTTATGTTAATTTATCTTTTGGTGAGAATTTTTGGGATACTAAATTGTATAAATGGATGAATATGAAATCTAAAGGGCTAATTAGACCTGTTACCTTTTTGGATAAAAAGATTAACTGTAGATTGGAGAAAATTTGGAAATATAATGCAAATAAAATGACTATTTCAGGCCAAGTTCCATGAGATTTCAATTCTTTATGAATGTTGCTATTTGTATTCAGCTGTTTTGCTCACTTTGATTTTCATCATGTAGGAACAGAGTTAATTTTCAAATGTAGTAGCAGGCATGTAGTAGTCGATTGGTTGGGCTTTAGTTGATGATATGAACAATCAAAACAAATTCTATTTTCCCCCTGCAGACATAAAGTGGCCATAGTAGAAGGAAATTATCTATTGTCCGAAGAAGGGGTTTGGAAGGAGATATCGTCTATATTTGATGAGAAGTGGTAAGCATCATGCTCCACCTGCCTACTCGTTTTTACCGTTAACAGCCTCCAATTTGATTTTCAAATGCATGTTAAATTTTCTGACAGTGTGATTCCCTTGAGTCTATACCTAAAATATGATCTCTGCACTGCTTTTCTGTTCAAGGTTCATTGATGTCGACCTTGGCACGGCAATGCAACGAGTCCTTGAAAGGCATATCTCAACAGGTAAAAGGTCCTTGATATCAAGTTTTAAGCAGGCACCTCTGATATATAAGAAGAATTAAAGATTATGAGTTTTGCTTTTGTTTCCCTGTTTTACAGGAAAGCCCCCTGATGTTGCTCAATGGCGGGTAATTTTTATGTTGAGGGAGCCAAAAAGTAGTATATGAGATGATTTTTATTTTGTTTTTGTTTCTGATTCTCAACCTATTATTTATTATGCAGGTAAATTACAATGATAGACCCAATGCAGAGTTTATAATGAAATCAAAGAAAAATGCTGACTTGGTAATCAAGTCCATTGACTTCTCTCAAGTTAATTAAACCTGATGAAATGTTCGAGTAAAGGGCAATTGGTTTGTATTCTCTTTTAGTGTAGAAACAAATTGGGGAAGGGGATGTCAATGTTATTACCCTGATCCTTGAGATGTCAACCCTTGTTACTTTGGGTGGTTAACATTTATGCATGTATCGTGGTTTAATTTTTGTGGATTAAAGATGACAGACATTATATTTATATCGTGGTTTAATTTTCGTTTTATCTCATTTATCCTCTACGTTATTACTTAGTTTCGGTATTGGATTTAAAAATTAAAAAATAGGTCCAAATTTTTTTTTAGAAAATGAGTATATAAACTTTTTCATTTTTTTCATTTCTATTAACAGTAAAATAAATTTAATATTTTTTTTAAAAAAATAATGAGTATGTTCTCAAAAAAATCCAATTTTGTGAGAACATATCAAAATATGCATGATTGATCCAAAGAATTTCTTATCAATCGAGATACTTGGTTAAAATCAACTGTAACTTTTTTTAAAACATTTAGACTCTATTTTATCTCTTTTAATCGGATAATATTTTGATTCAACATTTTATTTTATCTTTTTTATTACTTATCTATTTAGTTTTTCAAATTAAATTAAATTTTATCATTTGTAATCTTTCCTGGCCTATAAATAAGCTTACATCTTTTTATAAATATCACATCTTTTTATAAAGAAGAATTTTTTCTTCTTTATTCAAAATTTTTATCTTGTTATTGCCTTGCAGGGGTGTTCGCGGTCGGTTTGAATCGGGTTTTGGCTAAAAATTCATCCGATCCGAAAGTATAAATGTTTGCGGTTTGGATCGGTTTGGATGTTTCTAAAAAAATCCGATCTGATCCAATTAAGTACGGTTTGATTCGATTTGGATTTATGCGGTTTTTGGATTCTAATCTTTCAAAATAATTATTGAATTTTTTTCATAAAAAAAATAGCATATGTATTATCAATGCCTGAGCATAAGTCTTTTGCAGAAAATTATCGACTTTATGCCCGAAGCCATTTTGTGAAGGCAATTGAACTTGGTGTTATCTTAGTTTTGTATGCTTCGTATAGCCCCCTCGCTAAGGATTCATTTGTTTACATAGCTATGACCATTTCAAGTTGGTTCCTTGTGGTGTCATGGATAATGTCCCCTTTTGTGTTCAACCCATCTGGGTTTGACTGGCTGAAGACGGTGTATGATTTTGATGATTTTATGAATTGGATATGGTGTAAAGGTGGCGCACTTGCAGAAGCCAATAAGAGCTGGGAGATATGGTGGTATGAGGAACAAGACCATTTGAGAACAACAGGCCTTTGGGGAAAGCTACTAGAGATCATTTTGGACCTTCGTTTCTTCTTCTTCCAGTATGGTATCGTGTATCAGTTGGGTATCGCGAATCATAGCACCAATGTTGGTGTGTACCTGTTATCTTGGATATAAATGATTGTGACTGTTGGGATCTATGTGTTTATAGCATATTCTCAAGACAAATATGCCGCAAAACAGCACATCTACTATCGGGTAGTTCAGCTTGTAATCGTTATACAATGGAGCAATAGAGTTCCTGGTAAATGAGTTCTTTCCCAATGGCTCAGCTTGCTTTCGACTAAACATACCCTTGTTAATTCCCATTGAGAGTTTGTATTATCAAGAAAGCAAAAGGGACTAAACATACCCTTGTTAATTCCCATTGAGAGTTTGTATTATCAAGAAAGCAAAAGGGAAAAAAATTAAAAGCTAGAGCCTAACCAGGCTCGAACCAGTGACCTCTCGATCTGCAGTCAAACGCTCTACAATTGAGTTATAGGTTGGGTTTATTTCAAACTTGTAAATTGAATATTTCATTTCATCGGTTCAGTTCGGTTTGGATCGGTTCCAGATTTTTAAAACGAACCGATCGGTTTTTAAAAAAAAATCAAACACACTAAATCGGTTTCCGCTTTTTTCGGTTATCGATTTTTTTGATCGGATTGAATCTGAACACCCTTATTGCCTTGGGGTGTGAGTTATAACATCTGTCATTTATTTTTCACCATCTAAGTTACTAAAGATAATATTCTTAGAGATTTGAACGAATCTACTAATATTATGAAGAAGAAAAAAATGTAAACACAATCTCCTTTTCCGCAGAACTTCATACCATAAGCACACATCCTTCTTTTTCTCTCTCGTTTCACTGTGCTGTGCCTAAATTAGCTTACATGCACAACATAAATCCCCACATGCTCTTGTTCCCTTTCCATTACCAGTTACCAAATTAAACCCTATTTTGAACCTTTCCTTTTATCCCCTCAATTTTTCATTATTCTCAATAAACATTATTAAGAAAATAAAGAGCGAAAAAACAATTTTATTACAACAACACAAATACATAGTAGAGTGTTTTATTATATCTTTGTAGCAAGTCATTATTAAACAGTAGAGCTACTAAACATTAAACAAGGGTTTTCCTGATCCACGACTTACACTAACACTCCATTATTGTTTTTTGACCATAATAAATACTAAACTTCAAAATAAAATCACTCCATTAATAATACTAATATTTCCAACTGCCATCACGGTCTTCAGCTTTTGTTCTTGCATTTCTCCAGGGCTCTCGACGCTGAAATTATAATATATTCATTTACGTTAAACTAAAACTTTCATCTGATTAAATAATTAGTACAAACGAAAAGAAAAGAAGATAACACTAACCGAGTCCGATCGCCTCTGTTCCTTTCATTATGTGTAACCTTTTACACGATTCGATAAACATCCTGATTTAATGGAGGAAAATGTTGTGTGAAAAATATATATATATATATAGCTTGAATTAAAGTTTTTTCATGAATAGGGACGTACTACCAGGGGACATCACCAACATGCATCCAGTCGCCATCTTTATTTTCATAAATTAGGACATATTCAGAGCCATTAAATAGATCCATAAACTTACTCTCATTCATGAAATCCTTCAACATTCCTTGGGATCCACATTTCCCTTCATATTTACACAAACCAGAATCAATTAATTATTATAAAATCAGGTTAAGCTTGATTAGATATTGGTTTCATATATGTACCAATAGTGAAAAAATAGTGAAAGAACTGAACATTTAGGCTAGGGCATCGGACAGTTGCTGGTAACTTTTGTACATCCTCAAGTCCACTTTCCGGAGGTACGGTGCGCCATCGAGGCTCACCTTCACGGAGGCGGCCTTCTTGCTGCTTTCCTCGGCACTCGTTTGGGTGGACAACATTTTCTTTCGGAATGACCGGACTGGCGGCCACCCTACAACTTGAGCCCTAAAATCATATATGCATTTGTATATATTTTTATTGCATATTAACTACTAACTTTTATTTTATTGCACATTAATCACTAACTTTTATTTTATTGCACTTTTACTTATTTATTGTTTCTAATATTTGATTCAACCTTGTGGTGACCCGATCTGGGGTATGATCCACATTATTATGGTTCAGACTCTGCTAACCACTAACTTTTTTATTTTATTTGTTTTATTTTATTTTTATTAATTTGTTTGAATTATTCGATTCGACCTTGTGGTGACCCGATCCAGGGTATGACCGACATTATTATGGTCTGGACTCTGCTAAAAGCTCACTTTTCTAACCGCTAATTACTAAATGCTAACCTTTTATTTATTTATTTGTTTTATTTTATGTTCAAACCATGTACGTCCTTGCGATGAACCGCCCCAGTGTATGACTCGCATTATTTCTAGTCCAGGATAAATAATAAAATTTTATTTTTATTGCACTTTATTTATGTTATTTAACTTTATGCACTTTTTAATTTATACCTTTTTATTTTCTTTATTTAATTTCAGTCTTTATATTTTACTTGCTTTAATGTTCTCATCGTTTATTTTTGTCTTTTTATTTTTTAGTACTTAATTTTATTTGCTTAACTATTGTGTTTTATTATCTATTTATTTTACTTCCATAATTTAATTTTTGCATAATTAGATTTTGTTTCCTTACATTTTACCATGTATGTATGTATGTTATATATTTATTTGTATTATTTATGTATGTCTATATTCTTTGCTCTTGGAAATTGGTTTCGAACGATTGTTCAAAATGTTTGTTTTATTCATTTTTAACGCTTTTTTTACTCTAATATTTTCAAGAACACTTGTTTGTAGAATGGGCGTGGAAAGCATTGCTTGATCGAAATAGTGCGATCCGATACGACATTCGAACGAAATGTGAACTTGAAATAAATCGAGCTTATTTTTTTAAAATGTAAAATAATTTGTTTTAATTCAAATGATGCAATGAGTGTTTTTAAAATAGTAATTTATTTTATGCAATTATCGATAGTTGATTTATATTCGATTTGTTTTTTTATAATGTTGGAGAGGGGACATTTCTCGTATAAAGGAAAAATAAATAGGATAACATTCCCATTGGAGGATGTGCAAATCCCGTGATTTCTTCTCAAACTAAGGAATGTTCCCTAATAATTAATTTGAAGCATTTTAATTAAACTTTAATGAATGGATCATATTTTAACTTTATATTCGATTTATAATTTCCATTGTCGCAACAATATATAAGTGACTAAGTACCAATTTTTGGGTGTTGTGGGGATGCTTATCCTTCCCCACACGTAATTGACTTTCGAACCCTTAAAAATGAATTTTCGAATAACGCAAACCAATTTTTGTCTTAAAAAGCTATTTTTTCTTAAAATTGTTTTAAAAGACGTTTTTAGGTATTCGACCTACCTAACTAAAAGGTCGATGGCGACTCATATTCAAAGATAATTCAAATTAATTCAAAATCGCCAAAATTTCAAATAAAGTCATAATTATTTTTTAAACTTAAATGTTTTTTAAAAAAATGGTTATGACATAGGTCATCCTCTCTCTAGTTGTTATCTCGGTCGTTCCCTCATCTAGAATGTTATGCAAGTTTTATTATTTTGTTATTTCTGATAGTTTAATAAGCTTATCGATTATGGTCATTAGCACTTAAGGGTATTTTAGTCATTTCTATTTGTAAAGAGTTCACACGATTCATGATTTTTCAATGATTAATGTGCTTGTTGTTCACTACTTGTAACTAGCTAGCCCGATATCTGACTCAGATTCATTCCTGGTAGCAACACTCTAATTGCTCTTACTACGATTTTCTTCAATTCACCCTTGAATTAGAATGACAACCACACATCCACATTTTCCTGACATTCTTGTAGTATACGATTTCACTATTTCATAATCTGACTTACTTATCATATTGTTTGTTAGTATATCCCATGCAACGATCCTCATTCTTAATTATTCGATATGTGCTTGACTGAAGATACTTTGACGTATTACGCTTAGTATGATTACTTCGATTGAAACTCACTCCTACGAGTGTTTGTAGGCCCTATTCATCCTTTGTGTCCCTCACGGACTAAGTTGCACTATTACAGATCATCCTTAGCTCTTACAGGCCTTAAAAAGATCAAATCTAACCGTCCAAAGTGGAAAGTATCAATACTCTACTTTTAGAATCGATACCCTAGGGTCAAGTATCAACCCCTATGAGTATCGGTACCAAAAATGGATTATGTTACTTAAAATGTGGCCCAATATCGATACTAGTATCCTAAGTATCAATACTCTCCCCAATAGTATCAATGCTCAGTTGAAAATCCTCAAATTTTGTCACAATTCATCCAGTTTCGATACTCGAACCCAAAAAAATCTTATTTAAGTTTGAAAAACACCAAAAATCATCTTAAAGATCTTAGTTTAATTCCTAATCATGTGCTAAAGCTTTAGAGAGTTACTTAAAGTCATAATGTGACATAAAAACACATGCTTCACGTCTAAAATATAATTTAATCAAGAAATCAAGCACTTAATTTCCAACTACATGTAATTTTATTAAAAGCATATGATGCAAACATAAATGATATCGTTCGAAAAAATATAACATCAGTAAAAATACGCCCTAACGAAATATATTTTTAAAATAGTACCAGTAACATAATTTTATTAAAAGAATATTATATTTTTAAATGATTTTTTTTAAATATTTTCCCCCATAAATTAACATAAGGATCTTATTTAGCGTTAATAAGCTCACTCACCGTCTCTTAGTTGGAACAAGTTTGCATAACCTAGCTTCACAAAAAATCAGTCACTACCTAGTACACGTGTATGAAAGATGTGGAAATAATCCACGTGAAGGTATATTATTGGATTGTTTTGTAAACAAACAAAGCAGTAGATTTTTTTATGATTGTTCCCGCATAAATGATAAAACATGAAGCAACGGTGAAAAAGGACGAATCGCAGATTGGGGAGAAAGAGAAAATTAAAACGATGAATACTGTGTTCTCAGTTGACGATTTCTCCGACTGGTCGTGGGCGGCTCTGGTTTCGAACGCTGCGGTTGGCATGAGTCGAAGCCACTCCGAGTGGGCGTTGGAAAGGTTTCTGGAAGAATTTTCTGGTGCGGGCGAGAATGTGATCGGTACGTCCTCGGCGGCACCTCAGCCGTCCGTTTCGAAAGCTGAAGAAGGTGATGACGTGGTGGAGCTAAAAAATCCTTACAACCAGAATCATAATCCTCCGCCGTCTGATCCAACACCGACAGTCTCGATTGATTCCGATGAGTTCCGTTCGATCCTGAAGAGCAAGCTCGAACTAGAATGCGCCGCGGTTGCTCTCTCTCGTGTATTTCTCTCTTCTCTAGAATCCCCGTTTTCAACATGGATTTATTATTCTATACTATCATTAATACTTATAATTTTTTCCTCTTCAAACACATATTCAGGCGTTAGCTGTGCAGGCAGAAGATTCGTCTGCCCAAGCAGAAAATCACGCGTTTCAATCGGGATCAAAAGTTCAAGGTAAGATTTTGTTTTGCATGCACTTATTTGATTTGAAAATCATGAGTTTCATTTTTGGGTGTTTTGGAGTGGTTTTGTTTTGTTATAATGGGTGGTTGCAACCATTAACGTTGGCCTCTTTATTTACTGGGACAAGCCTCTACGATGTTGGGTTGAATGCTGTTCATCATGTCTAGTTTTAGGGCCATCTAGGCACCTAGTGAATAATGAATGACATGAATATTTCTTTAGTTTGTGTCGTTCTAGTTAACTCCAACAATGGTTTTTTGGCTGCTTGGTGAACCGTAGGAAACATAATTAGTTAGGTATTGCCGGAGTCTTCCTGCAGTTTTCATGCATGGTTATGCCTGTTGATTTCAATATTGCATATTTTCATGGGGTGCCATGTGAGTCTATCTCCCATTTATGGTAGAGCTGAAAGTGCAAGGAAGGAGAACAAGAAAAAAGAGTGAACATAGATTAAAATGGAATTAAATTGCTTTACTAGATTTGATAATTTTTTATAGTTAGCTATAAATTTCTCTAGGCGGTCGAACAGGACACGTAACACCGCCCCTTTTATATTGCTATGTTTTCCTTCCAACTATTTCTTATAGCTGGAGTCTTCCTGCAGATATCATGCATGCTTATGCCTAATGATTTCAATATTGCGTTTGCGTGTTTTCACGGTGTGCCATGTTATTCTATATCCCATTTATGCTAGAGCTGAACGTGGAAGGAAGGGGGAAAAAGGAAAAAAGAGGGAGGATAGATAAAAATGGAATCAAATTGCTTTACTAGATTTTATATTTTTTAGTAGTCAGATATAAATTTCTGTTGATAATGAAGATTCTTAAAAGAGAAGGAGAAATTTTCAATCGTATTAAATTTCTGGAGTGAGTACAGTCTGCTGTATGCATTGTCTAGGAGTAAGTCTTTTGTTAGAATTAAACTACCATGTAATTATCCTTATCGTATCATATATACAAGGTAAGTGTAGAAAACAGACTGTAGAAAACATAATAGTCTGTTATGTTTTCTCTTATTTCATTCAGTAGAGTATATTACATATTTATATACAATTAATGCCTCTAAACTAGGAAACTCTAAGTTAGGAAATATACTAATCATAGGAGATGCAATCCCTTGAAACAAGGGATTGAAAAACAAAGCATAATTACATAATCTCTTAATTTAAGGAATTGAACAGCTCATTTCTATAATTCCTACAACTTTACATAACCTACACTCCCCCTCAAACTGGTGTATATATGTTGTATACCCAGTTTGAATGACAACTCATCAAAAGTCACTCGTGGAAGGGCTTTGGTGAAGATATCTGCCAACTGTTTCTTCGTCGGAATGTATTGTAGTTTTGCAACTCCATTGTTAACCTTCTCGTAAATAAAATGTCTGTCTATCTCAATGTGTTTTGTTCTATCATGCTGCACTGGGTTTTTTGCTATACTCATAGTTGATTGACTGTCACTAAAAATCTCAAAATTCTTGTTATCTAAGTCCAGTTCTGTGAGCAGTCTTTTAATCCACATTCCTTCACATATTCCGAGAGCCATTGCTCTAAACTCTGACTCAGCACTACTTTGAGAGACAACGGCTTGTTTCTTACTTCTCCAAGTCACCAAGTTACCCCAAACGTAGGTACAATAGCCACTAACTGACCTTCTATCAGTTAATTCACCTCCCCAGCTTGCATCCGTATAAACCTTCACTGTTCTGTCTTGATTTTTTCTAAATATAAGTCCAGCTCCTGGGGTAAACTTCAAGAACCTTAGGATTCTGTTAACAGCTTCCAAATGTTCTTCTCGATGATCACTCATATGTTGGCTGACAATACTCACTGAGTATGCAATATCAGGCCTAGTCAGTGAAAGGTAGATCAACTTCCCAACTAACCTTTGGTAGGTCTCCTTGTTTACTGGATTTCCAGTCATTTCCTTGCAAAATTTCAAGCCTGACTCCATTGGAGTTTCAACTGGTTTGCAGTCGAGCATCCCAGTTTCTGCAAGAAG